TAAATATTATAAAAAATCCAATGAGTAATTCGATTACGTCGACTCGAATATAAATTAATTCTACTAAGGTATTAATCAGTACATCATCCTTACAAGGTTTGTTTCTCTTCTAGTGGCGTGAAGGATTATCATTGAAGTGTTGTGTACTAACCGTCGTCTATCTAGTTCACATAGATCCAAATATTTCCTAATTCGACTGTTATAGGTATTCACTTATTTCGTCTCTTATCGTTTACATCTTTTTGACTTTCTCAATCGTTGCTATAATTTGAGGAATGTCGATTTGGACTGATACATATTTGCATCAGTCTTTATGATGTCTATGACGAAGACCTAGTTGACTGTTGAATTATGTAAACCAGTTCGTATCGACTCATCTTTATATGACCCAAATAAGTTCTAAGAGATATCTTCATTTCGCAAAATAAATGACTGTGAAGTACTTACATGCCCTCTCATATTTGTTTAGATCCTAGTGAGCTTTCACTTTAATAATCTATGAGTGACACAATCCGGTCGCCTAAACTGGAGTAGAGTGGGTTTCAAACATGGGACTTGGTGAGTGAATGTTGAACGCCTTAACCACTCAGCCATTGCCCTCCAACCACTGAATAATTAGGGGAGCTACTAAGTCATATACAATTCCCTTTCAACTATACTTAAAACAATTAAAAAATTATTGAATATGGAAAATTCGACTTCTCTACAAGAATAGAACGATAGTATACAGATTACTAATAGAGGCTACGATAATAGCTAACGAAACTCCTTAATAGTATGGTAGGGATTGTACCTAAGGGGGACTTTAATGATTGGATTCCTTTATCTGGAGGGTTTATTTAAGAACTTTTAATTGCCTTTTTAAGCATCGCTGTCACATAATTTTTTAATATTTCAATTAATATTGGGTTTAAGTAACGGCAAGTATGGACTCATGTGTTTTATATATATATATATATATATATATATATATATATATATATATATATATATATATATATATATATATATATATATATATATAGGAGATGCAAAATGTACACTAAGAAGTTTAACATGTTGGCTAAACAGAATTATGTTTTACCAGATGTTATAGGCTTATAAGATGTTTTTAGCATCATAGTAAGACTCTTGAAAACCGGTGGGAAGTCGTGGTAAAACCACTGGATAAATAATTACGATGTAGAAGATAGTTTCCTATTACGATAGGTTGTATTACACCAATATAATATCACTAAAAAAGATCATCCTTTTACTTCAGAAACTGATTTTAGAGAAAATTTCCCGATATTGACGGTTGCAACTGCCGGATTTAAAATGTTGTATCGTTAAAACAACAAACCTGAAGAAGAAAAATTTAGTGGCCAGACATGACGAAGTCTAAAGTGATCAGTCAGCCAATCAGTAACAACGTGGAACTTCGCACGTACGTACATCAGTTCGAGTTGCCACACCACATTAGCACAGAGCTGCAGTTGTCGATTCAAATCCCGTAGTGGTAGAGGTAGTAAGAGTATAGGCAGTAGTCGGAAACAGGGTTTGCAGATGTTATTCAAGGAGTATAATACAGTGAAGTAAATTTGGGAAGAGAAAACAAGAGACGAGGAGGAATCAGGAGATTACAATTTGGGAGAACACAAAGAGTGGATGCACTTGCGCAATCCCAAACGATTTTGAGTCATATCATTCAGGGTCTCTAACCATCAGTTGCTATCGTCTCGCGGATCCAAACCAGGTAGTCTATACCTACTAACATGACTCATTCCACTTGTCAGTGACTTCATGAACTTGTGCCATGTTTTGGTCTGACTGCCCCTAGCTTTCTTCCAACCTACTCCTATACCACTGAACATAGCACTTCGAGGCAGTTGGTCGTTGGGCATACGTAACCGTGCTGAGATTTCGTCACACACCAGACCACAAGGGCTGATGAGGCTTCCAGATAAGTGAAGCGGTCGACATGCTCAACTACTTCACTCCCTATCATTAGTTCAGGTGTCGATGCAGCCCAATCCTGAAGCAACATTTCGCATTTCAAGGGAGAGAATCGCATCCCGAACATGCTTGCATTGTTGCTTAGAGTGGTCAGAAGACTCTGCATTTTGTCAGCGTCTTCACCAAATAGAACTATGTCATCGGCATATTCCAAGTCAACAAGTGAATCCCCTGGTAGAAGTTCAACCCCTGGAAATTTAGAGGGGGAAAGTGTTATCTCTAAAAGTACGTCAATGACAAAGTTAAACAAGAATGGAGAGAGTGAGCAGCTCTGACGAACACCGCTTGAGGTAATCAATTCTGATGACAGTTCGCCATAAGCTCTCACTCTACCAGTTGTGTTCGAGTAGAGAGCCTGAATAAGGTTAATGTACTTCTTTGGTACTCCTTTCAGTGACAAACACTGCCATAAAACCTCACGATCAACAGAGTCGAATGCTGTCTTAAGGTCGAGAAATACTACGATTGTGGGGCGTCTGAACGTGTGTCTGTGTTCTAGAATCTGACGTAGTGTTAATATCTGGTCTATACAACCACGTCCAGGTTGAAAACCGGCCTGGTTTTCTCTAGTCTGCTCTTCACGAGCTTTGGTTAGGCGTCGAAGTATTATTAAAGCTAATATTTTAGACACTATATTCGTCAAACTGGTTCCTCTGTGATTGTCACAAGAGGACTTTTGTCCTTTCTTAAAAACTGGCACAATCAGTGATTGAGACCAGTCAGATGGGATTACGTCCAGTTCCCAAATTCTACATAAGACCTCGGTTAATCTCACTGCTAATACTGGGCTACCATCCTTAAAAATCTCAGGAGTAGATCTGTCAGGGCCTGCTGCTCTCCCTCGCTTCAGATTTCCTATAGCCTTTTCAACTTCGTAAAGAGTCGGAGGACCTACATTAACTTGCCATTCAGGTTGACTGGAGATCGTGGGAAACCTAAGTATGGCTGAAGGCCAGTTGAACTGATCCCTGAAGTGTTCTGCCATCGATCTAATCTCCTGGATTGAGAATGAATAATATGTCCATTCTACTCTGAGATAGTTTCGCTAACAGTCGGGTTCCTAATACCGGTTTCCTTAACGAGTCCGATATTACCTATTGCCACTGCCTTTTCCATCTCTCTTGCTTTCGCTAACCACCACTGTTCACGATCATTGCGTAGACTTCTTGTCCGCTTGTGCTTAAGCTGACTCCTCTCTTCGTTATGTTCAGATCCAGATGGAATGAGTTTTCGAGCATCTATCAGTGCGATAGATGCTGCTGAGATCCAGTGTTGCTCCCTAACCTTGTGGTTTACCATGCTAACAGATATCAATGCTGTTTCCACAGCTTTTCGGATATCATTCCATGCTGCCTCAGGGTGGGCATCACATACATGGCCGCCTAACGGTTTTCCTAGTTGTTCCTGAAATATACTCTTAGCTTGGTTATCATTAAATGGGATCTTAAGAGGTTTCCTTTCAGCGTCTTTCTAACATCCAGTAAAACGCAGGCAAATACGCGCTCACACTAGAGCATGATCTGAATCTAAGCATATGCTCCAGAATGAGCGACAGTCTTCTATCGAGCCTCTCCATCGGTGACTGATGGCGTTGTGATCTATTTGGGTCCAACGTTGGGACGAATTAGGGGATCGCCATGTTAAAAGATGTTTTTCCTTATGCTTAAAGTTAGTATTTGCAAGGAACAGGCGGTTATCTGAGCATAGCTGCAACAGACGGTCGCCATTATCTGTTCTTTGAGCCACGACACCATAAGATCCACCTTGGTGTCTTTCCCTTTCGCTTAGTTTACCTACTTGAGCATTAAAGTCACCAGCATCTATTACTACATCAGAGCGCCTAGCTTTTCGGAGAACGTCGGAGAGCTTTCTGTAAAACTCATCTTTTACATCATTTGAACTGCAGTCAGTGGGAGAATAGGCAGAGACGATGAAGAGGCAACGACGAGTGTCCCTATCTTTCCGAGTCCTTATTCTTCCATTTAGTCGGACAGCGCACAAACGACTGTCTACTGGGATTCAGTCTAAGAGAGCTAGTTTTGCCCTAGGACTCAATGCTATACCTACGCCGGCGAGTCCACGAGAAGCAGCATCTGGGCTTCCAGATACACGAAGTGTGAATCGAGTTGGTTCTTTGGTTTGACATGATGTCAAATGAATGATGGATTTGAATGTGACCAATTCGATCTCGTGTACTGCTACGGGGATGAGGGCTGGTGTCACTTCCTGGCTGCCCATACCGTGGAAGGGTATTTCTTGAGGAGCCTAAAAAGGAAGTCGGATTAATACCGGCCTTAACGACCTGGGAGAGTGACCGCAGAGCCCAGGAGATAAATGCTTGAGGCTGGTCGCGCAGTTTTTTGAGGGAGGTTTTTGACGTGTTAGCTCCGTTCTTCAAAGAGCCTTACCGCCGGAGATCCGTGAGGTAAGGTGAGGTGCGACATTTTTAGGATCGACCTTTTCTAACTTCACCTCTCCTTGTGGGAAGGCAGCATCGTTGCAGATGCTGGTTGTCTGAGAGAAACAACTTACTGCTGTCACACCCCTCTACAGTCAGCAGTACGACTTCGCCCTCAGACCTTGAGTTGCTGCTTTTAGTCTTACCATTCTTCAATCGACCTGCCTGGCATAGTAGAACCTACAGGAACATATGTTCCAGCTAATATAGCTCGGTTGGGTCATCACGGTAGGCAACACGGACCACCGCGTCAAGGTATCAGCTACGGTCGGGGTCTAAAGTGATGCCAGAAACTTATACATTTATAGTCATAACAGTCAAAACCAGTTGAGCTTTATTAAGTGCCAAAGACCACGAAACAGATTGGATTAAATAATCAGCTATCACAATGTTATCTTGTGGCAACACAAATTCTAAGCAAATTAATTACAAACATATACTTCTAGTTAAAAATTCTAAGACATTTGTAATGAAACGTTACTTGGCAAAAAACAGAGCGAACTACACTATTTGCAAAGTCACAATTGTAAGTGCTTCAGAACACATCTCAATCCAGTTTTCTGGGGGGTGGAGGCGACTGAATATTTAAGGATGACCTAAAATCTTCCAAGTTATCCTCCCAATGTTCCTCAAAGTAAACACACATTAGAAAACGAGCTTCTCTGCCAGTATGAATCGCGTACTCTAGATGGCTTTCTACAAAGCGCTCTGTCTGTCTGAAATAAACAAAGAAAGATATTTAAAATGTATCCGGGTAAATAACTTAAACGATACAAACAAGTGGTGAAATTTATTTATGTATTATTGGTAGTAAACACTAACTTGGGTGCGAGACGCAGAGAACCAAAGTAACCACCAGTTAAACACATAGGGAGAAGAGTTTGTATGCCTTCAACCCATTTAACAACGACTTCACCAAGCATGTCAGTAGGTTGACCAAGCAAAGTATGAACCAAATCATGTATTTCCCGGTACCGAAGCATGACGTAAGCCAAATCTCGGTCATCTACAAATCTAACATAGTGTCTTTCATCAGGTGAATAACCCTGAGGCTATGATCAATCAAAATTTAGAGCCTACATATTTATCCAGAAACTTCGTATACGCTTTCCCAAACGTACCCTCAGGCAGCTTACGAAGGCTATCTAAATCAACTGTGTTGGTACGAATAGTCGGTCGGTCACTAAAAGTCAATAAAGGAGTAATGTTTACCGCAATACGCGACAACCATCAGGATGATTCAGCATTCTATTGAATATTTGGCGCAAGGCGAGTTCTCCGCTAGTCTCTCCGAATGTGCTGAGCAGATCTGAAAGATAGGAGGCTAGAGATTCAGTTACCAGCTCTTCTTGGGTTAATCAGACAGCCAATCCCGCTCCCAAGACTCAGGAGACATTTTTGTAAGAAACTGGTTTTGATGTGTCCAAGATAATTTTCAACATCACCAAGTTTTTCGTGAGCTACAACACCTACTGAAATCTAGGAATATATTTTGTGTAGAAAAAACTAACTTTCAGTATGCTGTGAACGAAGAAAATAACGACTTGCTGATAAAATTCTTCTAAATGACAGGCTCATCAGCGACCTTCACAGTTAAACTATCGCACAAATCTCCAAACACCAAAACCTGATACCTCTCTTTATTGTTATAATGAACCATTAAACTCTAAAAATCTATGTCTGGATAGCAGAATACAATTATTGGTTATGGAAAAGGCTGAGTCTCACCTCGAAATTACGGGAAGCGTAAAGAACAAATGTTTTGGGATAAACTCTACGTTGTCAAGTAATTCAGGTGTATCGTAGTAGGTAATTATGGTTATGTTTTTGTTTATTTAGTTAATAAATTATAGATATTTTGAAGCAATTTTCACCGTGTGTTTAATCGGAACTTCGACTTTGCTAAGTTGTAGTTTTTCTTCTATCATGACTGACTGCCCTACACTTGGGTCGTCCATAGGCTTAGTTATTTGTTATTTGAACACATAGATATTGGTACAAGGAAGCAACAGATACATATGCGCCGCACAAATCTCATTTGATTTGTCTGAGGGCTGTAGTGCTGCACGAGTGCCCAGACCAAAGAAGTTGATTTTCTTAGGGAGCCACTCCTGGAGCCTTCAACCTAAAGTTCTGGTCCACAAGGCACAGAAGCAACGTAAAGGGATGCAGTCCCATGATGGCCGGTGACCAACAATAAGTTCATATGCCATTTATTTCCTTAAAGTCCTTTAGCTCATGCGCACCAGCGGTTTGGAATAAAGCTATTCCAGCTCCTCTAGATGGACACTCCATATCCATCGCTTTTCGTCTTCTCAGTTTCGTAATCTGCATCCTCGACACGAGAAAGAAGTGAGTAAAACTTCCCTGGCAGAGGCTATTTACGCATGGCCATGTGAGAGCATTTTAAGAGGGAGAGCGGACTCTCCTCATCCTCGGCCGTACCAGGGAATTGGATGTAATGGTAAATTCGCGATAGAAAAACTTATATTTTTCACTTATGCCAGCGAAAACATTGGATAGCGAAACAAACCCTTCATCATGGATTATGATAGCTTTAATAAGAATTCCTCGCTTCACATTGGTTGATCGCCAGGTTCTCCTTGAAAACGAGAGTGAAGTTCATCCTCACTCCACTGAAATCACTATATTCAGTATTCCTAGACTGCTTCAATTCTCCTAAAACACTCAACTTTTGTTCTTCAAAATTTTATGAAAGCTATACGCTTAGATCGACACTACAGTGTAGTTCTGCACCAGAAATACTGACTTTAATAGCTAAAGATGTTGGGAAATCTTCATTTAATCGACGCTTTCATGTAACAGGAAAGGTGAATCTGGAAACGAGATGATCATATGATTTAGGAATCCTCTTTCTGAGAACTAATGAATTGAAGTTACTGCAGTAACTCTTCTTCGTTAATCAATCATTTTTGTAACCGTTATTGCATAAATCTGAATGCTGTTTGAAATCAGAAGGCTATAATAAGCGGCAACTACATTTTATTAGGGGGTAGCACAGAAGACAAAGTTATAAGCACTTTGAACTAACTTGAAGCAGAGAGGAGAATGTGTGTATGCGAACAAATTCTGAGGCAAGTTTATAGTCAGATCGAATAAAGCGCAGCTAGGAAAGGCGAAAACTAACAATAAGATTCGAGTGTGTATATACCTGGGAACGAGAAAAATTCACCAAGCGAATAGTGCGTATTCCCGATCAACATCCATCAGCACAGGCACCATGGATGACAAGACAACAAACTCAAGCAGATTTTTATTTTGAAACGATTAGCGTCAATTTCAGGAAGTAACAGAACCATGGCAGTAATCTTGGTGTGTATGAGCGAAAGTCAACTCAATACCTACCTCATTCTTCGATGTCTCGGATTCTATGCTTTGGTCTGTTACAACATTAAACTTCATAAACATCACCAAAAAACTACTCAGCATCTAACAAACGAAATGGTGAGCTAAACACAAAGGTTTTCTTCTATCACAGAAGGCAGCAACTTCTGAAATGTGTGGGGTGATGCAGTGTTGTTTTTGCCGTAGAAAACTGCATTTATTATGTTAGTTGGCAAAACGACAGATAATAAGATGCTTAATTCGTCGTAGATTCACATTGTTTCGATAATAATTTACGACTATTTCCGCTGGTTACCGGGTGCAATGTCAAAATTGGGAACGAAAATACAGTTTATCCTCACTTGGATAATTTGATAATGATAAAAGTGATTCGATAAGAGTTCCCCCTGATGAATTATTGCACAAAATAAATAACTTTGTAAGCACTCGACAATCGCATCTCACTGTACGGGATGATTAGTAACCATATTTCTACACTAATGAAGACCATTTTGACACTGCGAGTGACAATCATTCGTCTTTTTTGTTATGTCTATCATTTTCGTTTCTCATACTACCATTGAACTGTGAAAATGAGCTTTAAGCTAGAAAAAGTTGAGCGGTTCGATCTACCTGGTTATTTGAACGTTTTCATTAATGCTTAGAACTACTAGCCATCTTTCAACTTCAATTATAGTGTTTGAGGTTCAACTGAACTACTAAAGCGGTATACAGCCTGGAAAGTTTCAGTGCAGACTGCTTGAGGAATTGCTACCATTAAGTATGAGACATTTATTTCGCCAGATAAGCAATATGTTAAACACAGGTGAATAAAAAGGCTATTGGACAATCTATAGTGAAAGTTGAACATCCGAGTATACGCAAGGATACGTTCAAACTCACAGAGCTACTAGTGACCACTTGACTGGGGCAAATATATTAGTACACAGAACAGCTAAGTAATAATAGAGTAATCTGTCTATCCGAAAGAAGGGGCAAAAATAGACGGCATCATATAGATTATAAATAAACGATAAAAGCCTACTAAAGCTGGGTTCCTTAACTAGTTTAGTTTTAAACTCATAGTGAGAGATTTTATAGCGAAAATGACAAACAGTGTATTTTCATAAATGAAGGGCTTTCGGTTCATAACCTCTGGATTCTTATATTTTTCATCACCGACGGTGATGACGTTGTAACAGCATAGGTTGGTTGGTTAAGAGTTGACCCCAAACAACCAAGCATATGCCAAAACAGTATTGTTCAAGTATTCATTCACTTCCTTATTTTGTATAAGCGTTATATTCCTTATTATCTTATATTGAATGCTGAAAGCCTTTGTTTGTCTGAACAGATAATCCCACGCTCCACTGTGACTGCGCTAAGATCGAAATAAAGGCGTACTCACAACTTCTCGGGTTTCTTCTATCAATAGTACGAGGGTTACCTATAGGCACGAAACTGGTGAGCCCTTTTTGAACACAAATTAATCTCATTTTCATTATTATTATTATTTTTTTTTTACTCAATCGTAAAAGTAGACCTGACTATCTGTAAACTACGTCGGGTATATAAATAGTTTATTTTTTTATTATCTCAAGTTATTCGTGTTATAGAAATCATTTTTTCGTGCTAATTTCATTGCTATATTTGTCACATACCTCATGTCAGACTTAAAAGAAACCCATAATCTGGAGGATTTGTCACCAGTGGAGATAGACACTGTTATGACTACGAAATTTCGACTTCCAGAATTTGATCGTAGTGATCCTGAGTTGTGGTTTGCTCAACTCGAGCATTATTTCACGAGACACAATATCAAATCTGAAGGGATTCGCTATAGAGATTTGTGTTCTATCCTTCCTCCTTCAGTCGCCAAAGAAGTCCGTGACTTGATTTTAGATCCACCATCACCACAACCGTACACCGTCTTAAGAAGAGAGATAATGAACCGTTTATCATTATCAGATAGTCAAAGAATCCAAAGACTTTTTCAAGGTGAAACACTAGGTGATCGGTCGCCGTCACAGTTTCTACGTCACCTCCAAGTCTTAGTGGGTGATAACACAGTGGGTGAAGCAGTCCTAAAACAAGGATGGATACAAGCTCTCCCATGCTACGACCAACATTGTTTGGATGCACAAGATCCTGAAACCTCATTATCTCATTTAGCGCGTATAGCTGATAGAATAATGGAAAGAGGTCCTCCAACTGGATCAGGCACAATAAATCACACACAGAAAGTAGAATCAGCAAAAGACCCCGTCATAAAAGGACTCATTGCGAGTGTTAAGAGTCTCACTGAGGCTGTCACCAGAATGCAAATGGGTCATACAAACAGGAACAGGTCACCACAACGATCACGATCCAAGTCACAAAATAGGTCACAAATGTCCAGACAATCTGGGCAGTTTTGTTGGTACCACTGGAAGTTTGGTGTCAACTCAACCAAGTGCAGGCAACCATGCGCCTGGCCTAAGCATAATTCCAAGACAGCGGGAAACGAGTAACCCCTCCCCAGGTCGCGACAACTGAGGAGGGGCGCCTAAACTGTCGCTTGTTTTATGTCAGAGACAGAAACTCTGGCTTGAATTTCTTGGTGGACACTGGCGCTGCTCTTAGCATCATCCCTCGAAATAAAACTGAGATTAGTCGAGAAACATCCCCGATTACACTTCAAGCTGCAAATAAAACTACAATCGCGACATTTGGGCAGAAAACGTTAACCCTAGATTTGGGGTTCAGAAGACAATTCCCTTGGGTTTTCACGGTAGCCGACTTAGATCTGGCAATACTGGGGATGGACTTTCTAGAGAGATACGAATTTCTAGTTGACACCAAGAAACGGCGATTAACACTAAAAGAAACTTCGTTTTACACAAAAGGCAAAGAAAGTCACATCAGCTCTCTTAACTTGATTCAAACTCCTCCAGTAACAACAGCGAAATTCCAAGATATACTCGCGGAATTTCCAAACTTAACTAAACCAAACCCACAGCCTTCCAAAGACAAACTAAAAGTAAGTCACACTATCAAAACCGAAGGTGCACCGGTGTTTGCAAAACCCAGGAGACTAGCACCAGATAAGCTCAAAATCGCTAGAGCCGAGTTTGATTATATGCTACAACTGGGTATTATCCGTCCCTCTGATAGTCAATGGGCATCCCCTTTGCATATGGTCCCAAAGAAGAATGAAGGTGACTGGCGACCGTGTGGGGATTGCAGAGCCCTCA